TCTCTCTCTCTCTCATTCAGCTCAACTCCAACAATGAACTGTTACAATTATACACTTATTGTCACATAGTTATGAGAAGCGTAAAACTGTATTAAAGCTTTAATCAGGATAAAACTGTATATTAAACGCTAACATAAGCAGTAGTATTTACAAATAACAGCATATCTAAAAGTATGAGACAACAACAAACAAAAAACACAGGCCTACCATTAAAAGCCGTGCTTGCACAGGTTCTGCACAATCCTCTTCAATAATATCCTCTGCTTCTCAATTGGGCTCAAACTGATAAGCGATATTAACGATGCAGTTGTTTACAATACAACCGGAGCACATGCTTTAGCCAATCACAACACACTGGGCTAGCTAACCAATCAGAGCCCATCGCCTATTTCTGAGGGAGGGGCTTCATAAAAGCAGGAAATTATCAGCCCGCTTCTCAGAGAAGGGACAGAGAGGTGTGGAATAAAGGTAAATTATGTGAAAAATAATGTGTTTTTAAAAAAAACAAAGCGTTAACACATGTTAGACTGTACCCCATAAACACAATCAAGCCTAGAAAAAACCCAGTGAACCACCCCTTTAACTGAAATAACAGTAGGATTTTTTAAACTCATTATAACATCCCACCAGTTTAATGTTGTGAGCGCCAAAGAAGATGGGTGTCCAGGCCCAATTAAGCGCCAACTGCATCCCATAGAGCCCCAGTGGTACCAGTGAATCCTGGGTGAAGCCTCCAAGCTCTTTCCACACAAGGTATGAACCGTAGCTTTAAAAAAAGAGAAAATTATTTACACCGTCTGGAGGTACCTTTAGTTACTCATTAACTTTTAAACCTAACTACAACTTCCTTCAAAGTTACTAAATGCATAAGTGCCAGATATATACTATAGTAAGTGGGAAGTGTTTAAACAAACCCCATGCCAGTGTAGAGAGTGGTCCACACTATTGGGAAGGCAGCGTTAGGTGGCCTCCATGAGGGCTTGTTGAGCGTGGTGTACCAGGTCTTCACCTCCTTCCGTGTGATGAAACCTCCAAATATACCAAGGTGTGGAAGGGCAGTCAAACTCAGCATAGGAATCCACATCCTTTCAATGCAAAATGACAAATTAAGGTTTGCCTGTGTACAATATGCAACACATTTGTTTTAGAGTAATTGCTCTGCACCCTTCTTGTCTGTATAACTTTCAAGTTTGACAACTTATCTCCACAGAATGCCAGACAAGGAGGCCAACAGTAGCTCAGGGCTCATTTGCAGTAATTAAAATTTGGACAACAGCCTTCTCTGCAATAAATGCAATCTTACAACATTAGCTTGATGCAAGTACTCTCACATATAAATACAAAATATCAGTAAAATATTCAAATATGATAATAGTATGCTATAGCTGTTAGGTAAACTAGTACAACAAACTAATATGATAAAAAATAGTAAACGTAGATTTTATCAGTAAAGTTGAACTGCTGTCCAAATACATATTTTGTAATTTTTTATTATTAAACATGCTATCGTACACGATCGAAAAGTTGTCTGTTTTAAATTAAATTGTTTGAACTTCCAATAATCTATTAAGAATTCATGATTTAAAACAAGAACGTTTTGGTTCATTGCCAGTTCAGTTGGTCCTACTGTGGGAACGACTTCACGCACGTACAGTACGACTCACAAAACTGTGTTTGTTTTATACAAGATAGTGATGAGAAAGTCGCAAAGACCCAGATAGATTTTTTTTTCGTGCAAATAATGTTAAACAGCAAGACGGGTTTGCATAATGTTAGTCACGCGCTCAGCAGAACATTATTTAGCGCGCGCTATGATTTTGTTCACAAATTCAAACGATGGACTAATAAGAGAAAATAGCGAAGCAAACTGCCTGATGTACTAAATAACAACGCTGTTGTCTTTACCTGAATTGACAGGTCGAAGCGCTGTTCGATGTTGTGTAAAGAGACGTCTCGATGGACTTCAAGACCGGAGTGATCTTGAAATCATAATATAAGTTTGTGTAACAGACAGTGGGCGTGCATGAAGGATAGGCTGCTCTCGTGTAGAAACAATACAACTGAAACGCTGGCCACTATAGAGAGGCATGTAAACATCTGCCGCTTCTTCCTGCTGTTGTGAAACGATCACTCAGCGTAGTAATGCTTGAATCTGCTGTGTTCAAGAAGACCGTCGCGGCGCTACGCTGGAACAGAAACAGATGCCAGTTTTGAAAATTAGCTTTGGCGATATTATGTGTCAAATATCAATTGACTAAGAGAGCTGCCATAATCTATGACGAACCATTCACTGCCTCAGAGACGACAACAAAACCCTGTCACTCACAATAAATATATAAATATCTGTTGTGTAATGTGTGTATGTATTGATTTACTGAATAATGTCCAGGTGTGAATATTATATGCAAACGAAGACGAAGATCTCATGGAAAATGTATATTCCCTGGTTTTGTCTGGGTAAGAGCACCAAGGAAACGTGTAAACATGCAGAATGTCGACTACAGACCATGAACATGACTCCCTCTGTAGGATACTTACATGTGTTTGTGTTGTACATGTGTTGTACAGTAGGCTATTTGTTTTTAAAATCTTCCCCAAACCATTTTTTTTACCTGTAGACATGTAACATATAATGTACACACTAGCTATTAGAAATTTGCAGTGCCTTATTATTATTGTGATTCATTCAAAACACTATTTTATGAAAATATGCACAATAGGGTTACTGTGTATCACAATTGACATTTCCTCAGTTATTGTTTTAGCATGGTTATGCAAACTCCTCTGTATCTGAAACTGGTTTATTAATGTAATTTTTACCCTTGAAATGAAATTGCAATACAGTGTTATATAAAAGTAAGAAATTAATTGAATAAAATTGACATTTTTTGTTTTTGACTGAATTTTTTATTGTGAAGTAAATTATGAATTTGGATGTGGTCAAATATGTAAAAAAACAACAACAAAAAAACTGAAATAATGAAAAGCTTAGTAAATAAAAACCAAATGGCTTTATAATTTATGCTATGTGATTATGTGATTGTGAAAGCAATTTCAGTTAATTAATATTAAATTAGATGGATGTTTGCAATCAACCAATCTCAGAAAACACACTTATTCCTTGGTTTACCCTCATGATTGAGTATGGAATTTTATATAAAAATTTTTTTAATGAAATGAAACTGTGTATGCATATAGCTACAGCTGACAAAGATATTTTTAGCATTATTATTATTATTATTATTATTATTATCATCATAACTCCTTAAATTGTTTATGCAAAACATTAAAAATAAAAATATTTAAGATAACATTTTAAAAATGTTGAACATGCAATAATTTAAAAACTTTTGGAAATTGTACTCTGTATATTGTCTCTATATATCTGCATTGTATTTTTCTAAATTTTTGTTTGTTTTTGAACTTTTTCTAAGAGAGTGTATGCAACCATTTAACTAGCAACTATGATATCATAAAAGGAACGTTTCAACATACTAATAACCGATGAGAATATTGAGGGCTAACTGGGCTGCTAACAATTTCAAATGAGCACATGTGTCTTTTCTGATATGAGAGAGCAAATTTTTTCACAAATATATACTTTTCAATGAATTCCTACGACTGCTCCCAGCCCAAGCCAGGGAACGAGCAGCCTTCTTGCTCTCCACCACCTCAAATATGCCAGAATAATGGTAAGAGGACATGATTTCCTGCTTGAACTGGCTGATTTAAATCAAATGAATTATCAGCAAGTGGCCCTTAGTTCAAAACAGCTTTCTGTATTAGTAAATTATGAAATAAGTAATAAGTTATTTAGTAGGCTAATTATCATTTATTTTTCAATCATTCATCCAAAGTGGATCTTATATGAATAATGATTAATAACTTTTTTTTTGAATAACATGTTTCTTCATTGATCTACATTGATAATTTAAATCTCATTGAATGATTTTTGCATGTTTAAATTAAATGGCATTGTGTAATTTTTAAGGACCCGCCATGAAAGAAAATGACTTCATGGCACCTCCTCCCTCACAGGAGTACAGAGCAGAGGTGCCATCTAACAGCCACAATTTGGCCCTTCCAAGATCTGATGCAATTGAGACCCCATCTGGTGTTATCACACCTGAAAGTAACTTCTCAACAAAAATATCACACCGATGTAGTTTATCAGCACAAAGGTTAAAATGATACTGGGTTGCTTATTATGTTTTTTATTTTTAGATTTGATCTGGGATCCCCCAAATCTACAGGATCTTGGTCCACTGAAATTATTAGGTGTTTACAACCTTCCACAGCCCTTCTGGCCTGCCAGCTTAAAGGATAATGTGAAGAATCTTGGCATTAATGTGGATGAGACAAACAGAGCTGATGACAGCAGCAACATGAAGAATCCATCCTCCTCTGTGCCTCACAATATGTTTGAGGAGCTTCTTGAGAATTTGGATTTCTCAACACCTTCTCCTCATGCAAATGAGGATATCTTTGAAATACTAGGCCTCTCTGTTGATGCATACAATGAACAGACTGAGATTGATGCCATCATAGAGCAAGAAGAGGACAAGGACAAGCTCCCGCTCAGTTCTGATGTTATCACTAGCCACAACATGGAAGCAGCAGCCTTTGATTCTGAGGAAATTCTGTCTTATGTTACAGGCTCAAGAAAGAGAAAGAGGGCTATTTTCTTTGACAATGACTCCTCTTCAGCTGCTGACGAAAGTTCTGCCATGCTTGATAATTTGGAGCTCTTTGAGCCTCCACATGCTAAGCCTCAGCTGGACTCTAATGAATATGTTGAAGACTTTTTCACTACTTTTTATAGTGCCATCTTCTCAGACGAAAGCACTGTTTCTTACGATTAAAGCAATGCTATTTGCAAATTAAAAGTCTGGAACGTTTCCCTATATTGTCTGTGGTCATCTGGGGATTTTCAGTCAAAAATGTCATATATGCTTTGAGCTAGTTGAATTCAAAATTCTGGATATCACACTTTCTGGGAAGAAAAAGCATTGTTACGTAGAGGTTGCAGGTTAAATCCCTGAAACGGGCGATCCATACATTTTCATTATTGTGCACTTGAACAAGAAAGTCAATGTGAATTGCCATTCACAACACATTTTACTTCCATAATGTGAGACTGATTCAGTATATCGGAAATGGATTGGATTGTGAAATCATGTGATCCTAACATGGTTGCCACAATGAGGGATCGCGTTCCATGTAAAATAAACTTATTCTATCCCACTGATATGCCTCTAACTACTTCAATTTGATCAAACTTGCAGTTGTTGTTGCCCTTTACAGGCTGACAGATATGTAATTGATACATGAAGCTGATGTATCCATTTACTTTAGTTGTATGCTGTGTCTGTGTATGCTGTGTCAGGATTCATTTCATAATTATATATTATCAGCCTCAGTAAACAATGATCTGAGGTTGAAAAAGATATGCCATAACACTGACGTACAACCTCAGGTTACTTTACCATAAATAAGAAAACATTTAAGCGGTCACTCAGAAAATATTTTTAAATATCAGATATATGTGACCCTGGATCACAAAACCAGTCGTAAGTAGCATGGGTAGCAATAGCCAACAATACATTGTATGGGTCAAAATTATCGATTTTTCTTTTATGCCCAAAATCATTAGGATGTTAAGTAAAGATCATGTTCCATGAAGATATTTAGCAAATTTCCTACCGTAAATATATCAAAACTTAATTTTTGATTTGGTAATATGCATTTCTAAGAACTTAATTTGGACAACTTTAAAGGCGATTTTTTTTTGCACCATCAGATTCCAGATTTTCAAATATTGTCCCATCCTAAAAAGCCATACATCAATGGAAAGCTTATTTATTCAACTTTCAGATGACGTATAAATATTAATTTCAAAAGATTTACCCTTATGACTAGTTTTGTGGTCCAGGGTCACATATGACCTTTTTGTGAAAAAGAATCAAAAGATGATTCATAGTGCAATAGCCTATTTTAGCACAAAATATTAGTTTTTTTGTTGTTGTTTTTTTTTATGTATGAAACAGCTGAATATAAAAATGCAGTTTCTAAAAGCTAAGTGTTAAAAAGATTTATCTTTTTATACGACCTAGTGCATGCTTATTTTTTACATTGGCTCACACAGTGTTCAAATGGATTTGAGTTAAACGTTTTCCACAGTCATGCATCTGAATTTCTATTCTTTTTCAATAAACTCTTTAACAGTTGCTCATAACCTAAGAAATGAACATAGCACAGTTACAGACGATTTAGAAATACAGTTTTACCCATTTCCCTAACCGTAAAACACCTGTTCGCAAGAATGCCGTACGCATTAAACCAATGGGAATTGGATCTGTCTGTCTTAAATGACAGCAAGGTGGATTTCAATAGAGCTGCTGCCAGCACGTCATCGTGTGATGCTCAAACACATTCACATCTCATCTTCTGGTCCTCCAGCATATTCTACCTTCTTGTCGCTCCAGCAGCCCTCGTTGTCTGCCTGAACTCTCACCCTGGTGGTCGGGAAATGTCAACGAGAGGCCCGTGCCGCAGCAAGGGGGCGTTACGGGGAAAAAACAATTGGCTTTATTGTTATATTTTCACGCAATTCGCCTTTTCTTAGTCTTACCACTAGAGTAAGCATCAAAAACGACCAGCACGCCGACCGCCAAGTCCGATCCGCCGTGGACTGCTGTTCTCATCCTTCATCTGTCTCGTCTCGTATTGCAATCATTGCCAAACATGTGAGTAGCAACCGCAGCTGAATTGTTCTGCAGTAGCCTAAACGTGTTTTGATGCTGCTGGTACAGCGCGAGCTCGATCGCATCCTGCTCTCATTCATCTCATTAGTGAATGTGCTGTGTTTGATACACAATAGTTACTAGCATCCAGCTGCAAACGATTAGTGGTAGTGTAACACTAACGTTGATACAAAGGCTGGAACATAGCGAGCCATCTCCTTGAACGCCACAAGTGTTGCTTTTACTGGTTCGACTTCTACTTTGCTTTTCTGTCTTAGCATTAGAAAAGCTAGTCCTGCAGATTTGTGCTGCATTTATCCGGTTTTTATTATTCTTGGCGGTGATGCGCTACAAGACGTTCAAGTTGCATCTGTTGGTCACTCAGTGTCTATTCGGGAGACCTGGTGCACGATATTTGGATGTAAGATTCTGGGTTATTGCATAAACTGCAGACAAAAACACAATTTTCCAGGTGCCAAACGCGTCTGGTCCTGCATGACAGACTTCAGAGAATCAAATGTGGATTTCAGGTTCGACTGTGCGAACTGCTGTGTGTTATGAACTGACATGCTCATATTGATATTGACATAAAGAGATAAAATATTAAATGTTTTATCAATCTATTATTTCCATTTTCTGTGTACATGCCACATATATACTGTTTGTTAATTTGGGTGTATTTGGAAAACAACTTTATGACTGGGCCTTCATGTGCATGACAAACTTTATGAATTAATTGCACATGAATGGTACTGAAGGGTCTGGCACACTTTTAAAAATGCTGACATCTTTCCACCATTAACCTTATTGCATTTAATCATGCATGCTTGATTTTCTTGAGTTATGCTGCTGTTTTGAAATGCTCATGATGCTATATTGATCAGCGTGGGCACTGGATTATTAATTTTGAGTCCGGTTAATGTTGATGTTAATATTAGACATAAAAAAAGTCAACCGGTAGGCTGTAATTATACAATTTATTTTATTTTATATTATCATTATATTGTATATATAGTAGTTAATACTTGAGAAATTTCCTTTAATATAACTTTGGCATTCATAAACTTGTGAATGTAGTAGTATGGAATTTGATTTGAGTTGACATTTCTATGGAAGTCATTGTGAAACTACTGCTATTTAAAAAAGACATGAAACACACTTGTCATTAAAGTTTTTCTTTCAGTTTTCATTTTAGCAGAAGTAGACTGCTTTTCCTTTTTATGACAAATAAACCTGTTTTTAAAACAAGTGTGCAGAAAATCAGAGCATTGCGAGAATTTTGATGTGGCATGTTCTCGAATGGAGGATCCACAAAAGTTTGAACAGATTTACTGATGAACTGCTGTGTTGATCAGTGCTTTTGAACTCGCACTGCTTATAGTTGCAGAAATTGTTCTTTGTTTTTTAATTGATGGACACAAACATTTACAGTTTTATAGTGTTTTACTTTAAGCAATGATGAACACAACACAGAGACAAAAATCCATGTTTTAAACATTATGGAAGAATAACATGCACTTGTTTAATATAAGAAGACCATACATTAATTTTGACAGGACCTGGTAGAAATAAAATAATGATTAAATTCATGAAAGGGTCTAAAATCATGTTTATAGGAACAGAGATTCTATTAGATGGGAGTTAGCGGTCTTTCCACACTTAGAGAAAGTAGAGACACCTGTTGGAATTTTGTCTGTGGGTTTTAATATAATAATGCATCCTTACAGTACCTTAACTGATTTATACAGCAATGCATAAATATGGTCTGTATAGAGGTATTTGTGTAGTTTTTGTTTAGATAGATTCTTAGTATTTCATATTAACACAAAATCTCAATGTATACATAATACAGATACAAAAAAAAATCAAACTTTTTGTAGCGGGATCATGCACTTAAAAGTTATATTTTTCGGCGATTTCTGTGTTTCTACGTGCCTGCATAATTTTTGACGTTAAAGGCATAGTTCACCCAAAAAATGAAAATTGTCACGATTTATTCACCCTCATGTTGTTGCAAACCTGTATGAATTTCTTTTTTCTATTGAACACAAAAGAAGATATTTTGAAGAATGTTAAGTAACCAAACAGCTGATAGCCATCGACTTCCATGTTCTTTTTTCACATATGGTGGAAGTCAATAGCTACAAGCAACTGTTTGGTTACAATCTTCCAAATATCTTAAGGGAGAGTGAATGATTTGATGAAATGAAATAAAATTGGGGTGAACCAACCCGTTTAAATTGGAATAGCACAGAACTGATAGCTTTGTTTCCTTTCCTGAAACCACCTGAAATATAAGTTATTTGTGGTTATTTAGACAGTATCTTTGCACATCATATAGGCTGAAGGTGAAACCATGAGTTGTAAGCTGATTCCACTTGAGAATAAGGTTCCCAGTATAAAGTAATTATGTTTTATTTATCCAGTGGGAGTCAGAGGAGAAAGAGCAACTTCATTCCCCGTGTCTTAATCACAGCTCGGGCATTTTTGAAAAAGAGGACGGTATACTCAAAGGATTGTACATCAAGTCCTTTCATTTTCTCTGCTTCATAGGAGAAATGAAACATTTGTGCACTGGGACTGGATGCTCTTACCAGCAGACCCCACTTCCGCCATGACACCCAGCAGAGGATTCTGGGATTGACGCAAGCATCACTCCCACTGATGGCCTGGACCAGGTGAGCATATAAGTGTACCTTTTTTGTCTCTTCATGCATTACCTATTTATTTTACATAAATAAAACAATTCTAAATGTTTTGCTTATTAATTTTTAGCTGTCTCCATGTAGTCCCTGCAATATCTGACCCGTTTGTGCCTGTTTAAGGTTTCAGCTGGCCTGCTGAAGCTATGGGGAGCTGCTGGAGCTGTCTATACAGAGACACTATCCGAGACAACCATCTCAACAAATTTAAGGTGCATTTCACAAGACACTTTATGATAAAAACAAACCTTAAAAAGCACTGTGTCGGTAAATATTAATTTTAAGTGCAGCATTTGAGAATAGTTACATGGTTAACCTAGTAGAGCTCTGTTTGGTTCTGTGATAACCTGTTATGTCTGACAGGTGACTAATGTGGACGATGAGGGAAATGAGTTGGGCTCAGGAACCATGGAGCTCACACAAACAGATCTCATTCTGCACACGCGCAAACGTGATGCCATCCGGTGGCCATACCTTTGTCTGCGCCGATACGGTTACGATTCCAACCTCTTCTCTTTCGAGAGTGGCCGTCGTTGTCAGACAGGACAAGGTAAGATGATTCTGACTTCTACTTTATGCAGATGCAAGACTAAATTGCGTATAAAACAAATATTGCAACCTTCTGTGAACCCTTACATTTGCTCATTAGTAGGTACAGGTGCATCTCAATAAATTAGAATGTCATGGAAAAGTTCATTTATTTCAGTAATTCAACTCAAATTGTGAAACTCGTGTATTAAATAAATTCAATGCACACAGACTGAAGTAGTTTAAGTCTTTGGTTCTTTTAATTGTGAGGATTTTGGCTCACATTTAACAAAAACCCACCAATTCACCATCTCAACCAATTAGAATACTTCATAAGACCAATAAAAAAAAAATTTTAGTGAATTGTTGGCCTTCTGGAAAGTATGTTAATTTACTGTACATGTACTCAATACTTGGTAGGGGCTCCTTTTGCTTTAATTACGCCAATGTAAATGACCATGGTGTTGGTGTGCTTGACTGGTCAGCAAACTCACCAGACCTGAACCCCATAGAGAATCTATGGGGTATTGTCAAGAGGAAAATGAGAAACAAGAGACCAAAAAAATGCAGATGAGCTGAAGGCCTCCGTCAAAGAAACCTGGGCTTCCATACCACCTCAGCAGTGCCACAAACTGATCACCTCCATGCCACGCCAAATTGAGGCAGTAATTAAAGCAAAAGGAGCCCCTACCAAGTATTGAGTACATGTACAGTAAATTAACATACTTTCCAGAAGGCCAACAATTCCCTAAAAATGTTTTTTTTTATTGGTCTTATGGAGTATTCTAATTTGTTGAGATAGTGAATTGGTGGGTTTTTGTTAAATGTGAGCCAAAATCATCACAATTAAAAGAGCCAAAGACTTAAACTACTTCAGTCTGTGTGCATTGAATTTATTTAATACACGAGTTTCACAATTTGAGTTGAATTACTGAAATAAATGAACTTTTCCATGACATTCTAATTTATTGAGATGCACCTGTATATTGGTGGGTGGTTGATTTGGCTCCTTAAAGGGATAGTTCACCCAAAAATAAAAATTCTGTCATAATTTACTCACCCTCATGTCATTCCAAACCCATAAGAGCCATAAGGTTAATCTTTGAAACACAAATTAGGATATTTTTAATAAAACCTGAGAGGTTTCTGTCCCTCTGAAACCTGAAAGTACAGATAACCAAAGCTTTAAAGATTGAAAAAAGGCATAAAGTAAATGATGTAAAGCAAATCCATATGAATCAAATGAAGTTTGTGAAGAGATACAATTGCTTTGTGATTTAATTTAGGCTTTTATTTACATCTACACAATGACTGCACACAAACATACACATAGCAAATACGGAAGCTTGTGCCATTGAGGTTTGTTCTGTGAATAAAAAAAGGGGAATAAAAGGCTAAATTCTGTTCATCATATGTGACCAGTCATAAGGGTCAATTTTTCGAAATTGAGATTTATGCATCATCTGAAAGGTGAATAAATAAACTTTCCATTGATGTATGGTTTGTTAGGATAGGACAATATTTGGCCAAGATACAACTATTTGAAAATCTGGAATCTGAGGGTGCAAAAAAAACAAAATTCTGAGAAAATCGCCTTTAAAGTTGTCCAAATGAAGTTCTTAGCAATGCATATTACTTATCAAGAATTAAGTTTTAATATATTTACAGTAGGAAATTTACAAAATATCTTCATGGAACATGATCTTTACTTAACATCCTAACTATTTTTGGCATAAAAGAAAAATCTATTATTTTGACCCATACAATATATTTTTTGGCTATAGTTACAAATATACCCCAGCGACTTAAGACTGGTTTTGTGGTCCAGGGTCACATATTATGTGATCATATCTCATCACAAGATTTCAATTAAATCACTCAAATCATATGCTTTAACCTTTTCAGATCTTTTAAGATTTGGTTTCCTGGACATTCAATGAAGGGACAAACCGCTCAGGTTTCATTACAAATATATACATTTTCTAATAGAATGACATGAGGATCAGTAAATTCTGACAGAATTTTATTTTTGGGTGAGCTACCCCTTTAATTGAATGTGTATTCTAGTAATGTTATAGATATTTTTTAATTAAGTTCAGTTAAATGCTGTCATCCTAATTTAGATTTTGTGTGCCTATATATTTTTGTGCCTTCCCCATGCATGAAAGTAATACTCCACCTATGCATTTACTATTGTTTTCCTGTTTTCTATTTCTATTTTCCTGCATGTTTTGATAGGGATCTTTGCATTCAAGTGCTCTCGTGCAGAAGAGATCTTCAACCTGCTGCAGGAGTTGATGCAGTGTAACAGCATCAATGTAGTGGAGGAGCCTATGATCATGACCCGGCCCGGGCATGTGCCAGAGATGGACATGCCTCGAACTCCACAGACACCCAATAGTGAGCTGGAATATCTACTCACTTGAACACACAGGGTTTCATATATACATATATGTGTAAAACAAAACTGACCCATTCACTAATCACTTGATCAGTCTTTGCTGTTTTAATAGGGTAAAAATATTTGAACAGTCATGTTCGATATCAGTTATGAAATGGGGATAAACAGGTTAATTATAATGTCACGTCAATGGTATTGCTTTTTTTTTTTGCAGTAGAAAACGTGCATGCACATGCACATTTAAACACCTAGCCAGGTATTTACATATTTTCACACTCCGTTCATTAAATGTCTCTCACAACTTTTATTTTTATTTTCAAGTGTGCTGGGAAGCATTGACATTTCTGTAAATGCACAGTAGTCAAATAACATTGACATTAAGATTTTTATAACCTTTATGTAACTAGTCACCATTTTAACTTTTTGCAATTCAAGTTTATTTGTATAGCGCTGTCACAATACGTGTTGTTTCAAAGCAGCATTACAGAGCATGCTTGTTTCAATGTTACTTAAAAAGTATTGAGATGTAAGAAATGAGTTATTCAGTGTAGGTATGCATAATTGTTATAAAGACATAGAAACAAAATAGTTTTTTGTATTTTAGTCATCATTTGGCTTTTGTTAGACATTGACCACTGAGGTCATAGGCAAAATAGACCAAAAAATATGATGACTCATTTCACACGTTATTATTCACATATATCTTGCCCACATATCAACAGAACTTAACTTACAGAAGGACGACCTATATGTCACCTGATTATGTGTACTGTGCTTTGGTCTATTTGTGTAGCCCCTGGATTCCCGATGCAGGGTTTTCCTAATGGATACCCAGGATACCCAATCAGTGCAGACTCATCACAGCCCTCTCTCACCAACGACCACAGACACAGCCTCATGGGACTGGATGACCAAGTAAGAACAAACACCTGCCTGTGCACACATTCAGTAGCCACAAAAAGTATCTGGACACTCAAGCAGCATTGTATTTGACAAATTAACAGAAACAAATAATGCTAGACGTTTTCTCAAAACATAACTTATTTTATTCATTTTTGCAACTATGTTTAAAGGGATAGTTCACCCAAAAATGGAAATTGTCATCATTTTTCCATTATGTTCCCAACCTGTAAGCAAGTATTTTTTTTTAGATATTTTAAAGGATGTTATCCAAAAAAAGAAAGCCATTGGGGTGGGTCTAAAACAACATTGGACCAACATGAAAGTAAATGATGGCAGATTTGTAATTTTTAAGTCAACTAACCCTGATTTTAGTGGATGCTTGAGGTCAGTTCTCCTCAAGTTCAAGCAGGGGTTCTAGCAGAATAACCACAGGTTTAGGTTCATCGCATTCATATTCATAAGATTAACTGTAACGTTCCAATAACATTTAAAACTTCACAGCTTCTAACAAAATATTTTTTTAAATGACACTTGATGTGATGTTGTGTTATCTAATGCAATGACATTAATATGCTTAAGTGTGTCTTAAAGGGATAGTTCACCCAAAAATTACAACATCTGCTGGAACGCCACTCTCGAATGTGCGTATGACAGCTAGAGATTACAGTTGATAAAATTGTAAATATAGATATTTTTCTTACACAAACACTTCACTTCGCTCCAGAAGGCGTTTATTAACCCCCTGGAGCAATGTGGAACACTTTTTATGATGGATGCACGCACTTTATTTTGCTTCAAAATCTGGACCATTACCCATTATAAATCTTGGAAGAGCCAGGACAGTTTTTAAAATAACTCTGAATGTATTTGTCTAAAAGAAAAATAGCATATACACCTAGGATGGTTTGAAGGCGAATAAATCATGGGGTAATTTCCATTTTTGGGTGAAATGTCCCTTTAAATTAAAAGAAAAATACTTTTGAGGGATTTGTACATTTGAATAATAATTTTACTTAACTTGAAATGAATGAGAAGAAGTGGATCTTTTTCACATATCTGGGGTTCTGATAGGTTCATGATAGCATTTCCATGACTTTGAAAAAGAGGAAATAAAAATATTGACAGATCGATTATGTTGGTTAGAAGAGAGAAAGACGCCAAATTTGCTGTAACTTCCTTAGCCAATGTATTAGAAACACTCACACAGCAGCATTAACCAATTTTTATTCATTTAATGCCAAGGTAATAAAACACAAAGTATAGTGTTATAAATCTGTGTAATATTTTTTTTAATGAAAACGGAGAGACATTTTGTTTAGATGTACGATATTATTATTTGTGGAAACACATCATCAGAGTGTATAATAAGAGTCAATTTACAATTGGACAGTTCAGATCCTGTGCTTCACACACATGCAGTATAAAGTGGAACTATGTAGCAACTTTTTCAAGGTGTTAAAATGTTCATAATGCAAAATCTAGGTAAATAGTGTGCTATCAGTCACTTAAACATCAGTTTAACTAACTTTTCTCATTTGTTTCCAGACCCATACGTATGTGAATACAGTGGGAATGGAAACTGACCTCTCAAGCCGCCACTGTGTCCACTCTCTGCCCGAAGTGCGGCCCACCACCTACCCAGAAACCTCAACTACCACCACCATACGTGGGGGCCCAGTCCCAGGCCAGCCCAGCATGCACTGCTGCCCTCTGGACGACCCTCACAAAGACCCTCAGGTCTTCCTCCAGCCTGGAGCCCAGGAGGTGAAGTTCATGTTGGGTCCGACCCCAGCACAGCGCCACCTGATGGAAAGAGACAGAGACCGCCACGTCACTCACCCGCTTCGAGCGGCAGACTGCAGCTCCGAAACAGAAGGAGAGGAGACTCCATCTGTACACATGTGCAACACACACTCTTACCACCATTGCCATCATCTAATGCACCGACACTCTAGCATGGAGCCTTGCCCAGAAAGCCAGCTGACGTACGAGAATATCAACGGAATCCGAGGGGCACGTAGGCAAAGACTGAGTCCGAGCACTGTGTCTCAATCTCAGTCTTTGGGCTCCAGTAGCAGTAGCAGCACCACCGGTGATTCCCGCACACATACACATCCGCACTCCCTCCCGCTCACACACATGCACGCTTCCTCGCTGCCTCCGCAGGTATACGGCTGTGACCGGGGAATGGGGGTCAGTGGTCATCGGCGCACCGCGTTGCTCAACTATGAGAACCTTCCGTCGCTTCCCCCGGTTTGGGAATACCGTGCGCTTCAGCGTGAGGAAGAGGAGGATCAGGATGAAGACGAGGATGAGGATGAGTATGAGGAGGAAGAGGAAGAAGAATATGAGTATGAGTATTCTGAAGGGCCTGCAACCCCAAACGGATACCATCAGGAGAGTGCCGGCAGTGGTGGGATTCATCGCGATGCCCTGCAGAACTACGTCAACACTGAACAGGTGTGTCAACAAAAGTACGAGTAAATGCATGTGGAGAATATGCCAAATCAAATTCCAGGGTATAATCAGGGAATTGTAAAATAGTGATTTCCAGGCCTGGAAAGTCATGTGAATAAGTTACATTTCATATATATATATATATATGAAGAGTTCAGATACAAAAGCCTCTAAATGCCGTCTGAAATTTTCTTCTAAAATGAGCATTTTTATCAGGCCCCTATATTTATGTTCAGTTATTTCACTTTAATTGCATAGAAAATTACCTATACATTGCCATTAGAGTAAAATTACTGAACCTAAACATAGCAGCCTGATAAAAATGCTCATTTTAGATGAAAATTTCAGATGGCATTTAGAGGCTTTTGCATCTGAACTCTTCATATATATATATATATATACACACACACACACACACACACACAGTGTTGGGCAAGTTACTCTGAAAATGTAATCAAATTACTGATTACTCTTTTTAAAAGTAATCATGTTACTATTCCAATTACTTTATTTCAAAAGTAATTAGTAATTAGTTGAAAACATGCCAGGAAAGAGCTCTGCATTTATAATCTCTAAAAGACATCTCAGTTCATCGCAATCTCACAAATCTCTATAACACAATAAATATATGCATAATGAATCTTTCATAATGTCTACAATTCGTGTGTTATAATGAGAGGATTCGTGAGCACGCAAATTTCAGCACTGCATTAGCAGTAAACGCTGCAAACACGTGTTATAGCCATAGACTGTATAAAAACAGGATATAGCCTAAATAGAAACTCTGCATACGCTTGCACCTGTTAATCGTTTATATTAGTTCATGTTGCTTTTGTGCAATAGATGAATAACGATTTATTTGTTTTAGATATTTTATGTTTAGATATTTCTGTTTTGCGGGAGTCCCGTGAATCCTTCTCCAGCATCTCGCTCACACACGAGTGTCTACCCCGCACCCGCACCCGCACCCGCACTCGCCCATCTTGTCCCACGCCGCGCTCTGTTGTATGGGGCCTCGCGGGAGAGCAGTCTCTAATCCACTGGCACTTGATGTGACAGTGCGTGTGCTACTAAGTCATAATAATGAGAAACTAAGTCATAATAATGAGAAACTAAGTCATAATAATGAGAAACTAAGTCATAATAATGAGAAACTAAGTCATAATAATGAGAAACTAAGTCATAATAATGAGAAACTAAGTCATTATTTCGAGAAACTAAGTCATTATTTCGAGAAACTATTAGTTATTTAGTTAATTAGACTTAGTTTCTCATTATTATGACTTACAGAATTATATTTTTTTATTTAGTGGCGGAAACGGGCTTCCATACTGTTGTGTCGGGTCTCGCGGGAGAAGGTCTCTAATCCACTAGCACTTGACTCGAAAGTGCGTGTGCTACATCCTTTTTACAATCTCTAGATTAGAAAACACTGCATTCTGTAAGCAATGTAACGTGGCAGTAACGTATAGAGACCTCGGATTGTAACTATACTCTTAATTACTATTTTGAAAATTAAAACGCGATAAATTACTCCGTTACTAAAAAAGTAATCAAATTACATTCGTAACGCGTTACTGCCCAACATATATATATATATATATATATATATATATATATATATATATATATATATATAAAAAAA